TGCTTCTCTATCCAAGCAGAATCTCCGCTTATCGTTCTCATTTTGTACAATCATTGTTTCAGCTTATTTCCTAGCCAGTCTTCTCATATTTTGTCTGATTTGCGGTGTCCTTCTACTCATTTTCTGGGTGCGGTAAGTAATGATTATTATTGGTTCATGCTGTTTTGGTTGCTCTGAATTCAATTCTACCTACTCATTTCTTTGCCCGCCTATCTGTCCTTGTGCTCCGGAATGAAATTTACTGAAACCTGAATGCTTTACTTTCAAGGTTTGCTTGTATTTTCGTTGATATCCGAAAACAGCTCCACTCCAGGTCACACACACATTGACAAAACTTTCGGTATAACAACATAATAATTGAAAACGAAACTGTGCGAAACTGCCAAATAGTCTGTTTCAATTTTTCATCTACATCTGTTTTCCCGTGAAGCTGGAGCTAAAGCCAAAGGTCCTTAGCATCCACCTACGATTATTGAGGTGAAATCCTTAAAGCTCATGGGATGACCCCGTAATCCTTCAGCCTCGACTCATAAACTTTAGTCACACCACAGTAGGCTAGTCAGATCAGAACGAATGTTGAACCATTTTTTAATTTCTACAAATGTGAATTTTGCACATCTTGATTCGGAAATGAGGCGTAGTGATCGTTTGCTGCGCATTTGGGGGGCGTCGAACATCCGTATTTATCATTAGGTCTGTGAAACTGCAAGAAAGCAGACTCCTGTCCTACACCACCCACGTAACACCACTCTTGAAGTACTACCCAGTTATCTATTCTAACATGAGCAAAAGCTCGAGAAGAGCGCTGGGAAGTGTTCAAAGTACTTTCACAAAGCAGCAGCTCATTGGCTTCTCCTCCCAGCTATCGTACAAAGAACAATACGAAAGTTTGGGGTGGGAACCTCTTTGGCTGTGCCATACAAGCCTAGCTGAGGGGTCTTTTATCACATTCTTCACAAATGGATCTACTGTTCGATTACCTGGTTGGATTTCAGCCACAACTGTGGCTATCCACCTCGGAATTGAAATTTCACTTTAACCATCCCGATAGCCAGGGCCTCCATTAGAAACTAATTGTTTATATCTGTATACTCCAAGCTATGCAACAAACTTACGAGTGATATCAGATAATCTCCATCCATTCAGTTCATCAAATCTGCAATAAATGAAATCCTCAAATATATGAGAGTAATGGGGGATTTAACTTTTTTAATGAGATCAATTCTTCGTGTAAATGAGGCGTAAGCTGGAAATCTGGGAAGCACAACTGGACAGCTGTTTCGACCTGGTTGGGTCTCATCCGCAGCAATGCGAATTCATCGACCCTACTGGGGATTGCGAACCCGAGACCTCACAAGTAGAACGCAAGCATACTACAACAAATAA